GCCTTTATTTTTTATGCAATATATGCTTTTCTACTCAACAAGACAATAAAAAGATTAATATTTGTTTTTCTGATCCTTTTAGCTAATAACATGAATCTAGAAATCATTTTAAACTGGGGTTAACCTACGCATGCACCAAATTTCTTGAAACTTTGATAGCTTGTGCAAGACAGTCCTTATTTTGATTCTGTGCGATTGCATTTTGTTTCCGATAAAAAATTTTTGTCCGCAACGCTAGCATTTTAAATAATTTTAGTGCTAGATGTACTTTTTTGACAAAATGTTTTCGGCAAGTACAATTTGTTGCTGCGTGTTCAAACTCGAAAGAACATCTTTAAAACACGTTATTAGGCTAAAACGATCAGGAAAACAAATCGTTTTAATCAGTTTACCTTCAGTTTATTTTCTTGTTGAGTATAGAAATTAAAGCATCTATTGCATCAAAAATAATTTATATGGCGGTCACGCTAGTTGGACTAAAGCAACAAACAGATCTCAAATCTCGTTCGCAATGCTGGAGTTTTTTTAGGAATTTAATTAAGCATTGAGCAAAAAAATAAATGCATTAGTTACTGTGAAGGGGTCGGCCCGTACTCCTTGGTAATTCTGGATATCACAAAAATCTTACCCAATAACTGTTTTAGTTTTAATTTTTTGTACGTTTTCGCAGATTTGTAAAACTCATCTCCATTTACTTGTCTATTTTCAGACAATCTCAGTATCTGTCGAACTCGTCTTCGCCAACTACACCAATGCGAATTTCATACCTGCAATGACCCTCAGTGTGTCCGAGGGGACAAAAGCTTTTGAAATACTCGAGATGGCTTCCCAACAAAACCCGTGCTACAGATTCCAATTTCAAACATTCAGTATTGGTCGCTTCATTACAAGAATATGCTGTCTCGAACAAGATCCATCAGCTGACTTTTATTGGCTCCTTTACAAGAATGGTCAACTTTCCCATCTTGGAGTTGATGTGTTAACACCGGCGAATGGAGATACCATTACCTTCAAATACCAAAACGTTTGAACATAATTATATTATACGACAAACGCTCTCAGTCTTGTGCAAACTTACTGTCTAACTTTCGTACTTTCTTTAATTAATTAATTTTAAACTAACTACTCTGTTATAGTCAAACCGGACCTGTGAGAGGTTACTGTTATTTATTTAATTATTTAATAAGACAACTATTAAATGATGTAAACTTTTCTGTGCGTATATAGGGTAATTGAAAATCGTGCGACATCTGTACAGTACATAACGTCGGCTTTAAGGCAATTTTCCATTGCAGTCGCTTTGCCCGCACGGGTGGAGCGAACATTAGAGAGGTTAAGATACCCCTGTTCCAATTTACGGTTACGGGGGAAATCGGAGAACGACTTATAACTTAAGAAATCCAAGATACTCCGGCATCAGAAAACCTATCAGAGAATGGTAACTTTCGCTGTTGAGGTTCGCCATAGATTGTTGAAAACTTTGACGAACATATATATGCTCATTATTTTTTTGGATAAGATGTTGAAGCTTTTTGCTATTGAAACGGCCCATAAATACTAAACAGAAAACACCCATACACGTTTGTCTTTTACGTGTATACACCATGGTCAGCCTCGTACCCAGGCGCTATAAATGGGCACACTACAGTGTTTTTATATGGATCAGTGGCTCGAGCGCGCGGCGGTGCTTGGGGAGGTTGCAGGAAACGAAGCGCCTGGCAGAATTTGTAACAAACATGGCGGACATGAGGATGCAAATGAGGAAATTGCTGTACTATACTCAATGAAATTGAAAGGCCTGCCCAATCGAGCGTGACATTTGGGAAAGATTTTATGTCCAAACGATCACTGCGTTGATAATAATTATTTTTCCTCGAAAACGGTATTATATATTTATCATTTTAGCTGGCGAGTTTCCTCAGGACCTCTCGAAATTTAATAGAAAGTCTCCTGGTCATGGTTTATTTCAAATGGTTGAAAATATTAAATATATGTCTGGTATTTGATGCACATCATGAAATGTACTGCCTTTTTGCAGTTTGAAAGAAAAGTATTCTGACAACAAAGTCAAAGTCAAAGAAACTGGCCAAGTTTATAACTTTATATTCTTGAATTTTAATAATACATTGAATTTTATAAATATGGAATGTTGAAACTACTATTTATTTGTACTGATGATATTTTACCTCAGATGAGAAAATTAACTGGAAAATATTTAATGATTGTAGGTTTCTAAAATTTTGCCAATAGAAGGAATATAAATTAACATGCATGAGTGCTTTTTAGTATGCAAAATATGGTGAAGATAAAAACATAAATTTTAGAGCTCTATTGTTTTAACTGGCTGACAATAATTATATAAACCACAAACCAGACCAAACTAATCCGCTCATCTCATGCATGGTTCACCTGTTGATGTTTGTGATTCACCTTACTTTTGAGTTTTGAACTATGAAGGCTATTGTCCTTGATTGCCAAAATCTACTATGTTTACACTAAGGAATGAGGTATACTCTGGACTTGCCTCTGGCTGCATACAATGCATTTGATACCAGTTACAGACATAGTCTAACAAATTGGACAATTTAAAGGCATGGTTGCACATTGCAATTTGTCGGGCTGACTACAGTACAGATGGTATTGATATTTAAAAATCAATGACATTTGAAAAATATGTGGCAAACATTTGATGGTCTCACTGAAAATATTTGTCAACAGTTAGCAAAATCTAAAATCAGCCCGGCAAAGTATGGTGTATAAACACACAAAAATACTCTCATACATGTACCATACATATACACACATGATTTACCATGTTGCCATGGAAATTGGTCTTGGGATTAAACAATCCAAACATGTTTATACACACAAATGCTTTACCTGAAATCATTCTCAGGTCACTCAAGGTAAGTCCCAGTAAACAGCTTGGACAGGTGTAGGTTTGTAGTGTAAACACAAGACCTATCCCAGTTGTCTCTGTGCTTGCTCTTAAATCCTCATGAATGTTTTACACAACTTGACTAAATGAGGTATACCTCATCAACATACTATGCAAACAACCCCTGGAACATATAACCTAAAATGTTGAGAATTTTATTTATTTTGCTCATAATATAAACTACTAGTATTTACATTAAAAAAGATCTAGAGCTATGGCTGTATGGCAATATTTATGCAATTTAATACTCTTGTGGGCCTTTATTTATACACTCATCCACATCTTAACGTCTAAACAAACTAGGCACATTAAACTTTGCAAATTAACAACTTTACCCATTAAGTTTCACTGCCCCCTACTAGGGCTATGGTGGTGTGCTGATTGCACCACCGAGTTTCGTGGTGCAATTGTCAGTTCTAGACCACTTGATAAACTGCTAGATTTTTCAATCTCGCCATAGTTCTCCATCTCATAATCTGCTTCAGTGGCAATGGGGACATCACTATCTAACAACATAATAAATTAACAACATTTCTATTACTCATTAACTCATAAATTTACTATATTATAATGCTTCAGATCACCAAAAATGTGATGCATGATGCATTCAAATGTCTGCTGACTTAGGAACTTAAACTACATAAGTAGACAATACCTTCTTCAAAATCAAGTTGGGAAAAGGATGCATTAAATATATCATCAGAACTTACTGATGCTATCAAAAGAAGATTTAATAGGTGTTTTAAAAACGCATACAGGTGATACAGCAAATATTTTGTTGTGGCAATTTGGTGCTATTGCAATTTATATAAAATTAGCTTTGACATTGTTGTTATTGCATGAACCAAAGTCCAAAGAGACAAATATAACAGCATTCAACACTGAACAGATTTATATAACAATATATATCGCTATTTTACATCATATAAAATAATGTAAATAATATTTAGCTAAAATCCTTTCGTTTTCAATATCAATTCTATTATAACACAGGTATATCATATTAAAAATGACTCTTATTATTAAAGTTAACAGACTCAGTCAGTATATTAATTCAAATAAAGGTTAAAAAGCGCCTATTAAGTATGTTTAAAGAAAAAGATTACCTTCATGTGGCTGTCTTTACTCCGTCTGGTCCATATTGTCACGGAAATTGGGCACAAAATGCACAAAAACGCTTAAAAACTACATTTCTAAACTAAATTTCAGAAATCGACAATTTCTTGTCACTTATCGAACAAATTCTCCCAGGCGCCTCCGGTTCCAGTTGCGTCCTCCCCAAGCACCCCCGCGCGCTCGCTCATCTTAGCCACTGATCTATATAAAAGTACTGTAGTGTGCCTATTTTTAGTTAATTGCGCCTGAGTACGAGGCTGCACCATGGTTTGCCGCAGGAGAACGGGTAGAAATTACAGGTAAAAATGCTGACATCAGCAAAACTTGATAAATAAAATGGCGATACTCGTACCCTTAAACCGGAACCGGGTATCTTAACCTCTCTAATAGAGGGAGTCTACGTTTAGAGGACGACGACTTGAGAATGGCAACTAAACAAACTTTGAAATGTATGATTATGTAAAATTCTTGTCATGTATTTGCCACCATATTATTGCAATACATTTTAAGTAGGGCAATTTTAATAGAAGGGGGGGGGGGGCAAGGGGGATCTCGTCACGAAATTACGAAGATCATTTTTAGATTTCACGAAAAACAAAATTTCATTTTCACGATTTTTAGAAACACAGAAGCGTAACAAAGTCTGAAACCATTTAACGATTTTCTAGACAGCAGAACTAGTGGGCCTGTTAGCCAAAACAATCCTTCAAATCGTGACAACAAGCCCGCACTTGGCACAATGATAGATTATGATGTCAAGAATATGGAATGGAAGGGTTGCCCAAAATTTCAGTAGGGAAAAGTACTTTTTTCGGACGTCAAAAATACAAGATGGCGGAATCCAAGATGGCCGACCGATGACGTCAGTTATATGACGTCATCAACATAATTACCACTGTAATCACTTTTACACATTACAGAGATATATTTAGTATTTCAAGTAATCTTAAAACATAGAAATTGAACTAACAGAGGCCGATAAACTATCCTAGTTTCAAACTCGTACCCAGGCTCTTCGCTCCAGAACATTAAAAACAAAAAAGGTCCTAGATTTTATGTTTTTCGTTTTATTTTCTGTTCGCAATGACTGTTTAATTGTTTATTAATAATGTGAAAACGTTGCCTTTTAATCAATTTTAGAACCATTTGACCCTCGATGCGCGTTTTACCTAACCATAACTAACCTGTAGTGATCTTCTATGGTAACCGCAAAGTTTGTTCCTGGTTTAACATTTAGTCCGACAACCGCATAACTCGGTACACTTCAGCCCACTCTTTTTGCATTTGCACTTCGCCGCAACACAACTTGTGCATCCATAAGAAATGAGCGCTTTGGCCACATTCGATACGTCCGGCAGAATACTCCAAACGGGTACGAATTCATCGTCCTCCTTAATCCATCCTCAGTTCACTGGATCCATTTCAATTCTGTGGGCTTCAAGGAAGTCGTACCACTTCTGTGCTTGTAAAACTGATCGCTTTACTTGTTCGTTGAGTGCCGTTAGAGGGATATTTTCAATGGCCTTACCTCGACTTGCAAATAGGTATCGCCTCGCCTCGTTTACCTTGATACCATCAAATGCTTTGCAGTACAGGGTAATAACAAATTGTTCGATAATGTCTCTGTCGGCTTGACTTATATCTCTCCGAGACGTTGCCGTTTTTCGAATACAGGTGTTGCACTGGCCATCTTCTTCCAGGTGTCAATAAACGACTTCTTACCCTTTCCGTGGAGTGATGAGGTGGTATCGCAGCCACTAAACGAGTGGAAGAAGAGGTAAGCGGTGGAGGCCTGGCGTCCGAGGGAATTGGCAATCTCGTGAATTGGTATGAACCTCAAATGCTTCCCGACTCCAAACTCGAGCCACAACTCCTGGAGGCCGGCTATTCTGTGGAAAGCTGAAAGAGCAATCACAACAACATTACTATCCACGGTCTTGACCAGAATACGGGAACATTCTTCAGCAGCATTTCTGACATGCACAAACATACGCCCATCTGCCTCTTCGATGTTGCATTGCATCAATGGCTCGAGATCGATATCCGCTTGGTTTGAAACCGCCCCGTCTTCGACAGTCCCAACGAAAACTCCATGAGCGCAGTTAATGTTCTCGGTCAATGATTTGACAATTAGCGGAAACAGTTCTGTCTTGTTTTCGTCGCACCGGAGGAACGTTGGCCAATTTTTTGGCATACTCCCATTTGGTTTCACGAGCCTTCTCACACCAGAACCTCGGTTTGATCGTGTGACAGACTTTAAACTATCTTTAAAGTACCTATCAAACACCAAATCTATTCATGTGGTTGACCTCAGATGAAGCTCCATGTAAGACTGGATGATACTTGAGATGTAGTATGCGAATGTCTGGCAGTCATTTGTGTTGCGGCGAAGTGCAAATGCAAAACGAGTGGGCTGAAGTGTACCGAGTTGTGCGGTTGTCGGACTGTTAAACCAGGAACAAGCTTTGCGTTTACCATAGAAGATCACTACAGGTTAGTTATGGTTAGGTAAAACGCGCATCGAGGGTCAAATAGTTCTAAAATTGATTAAAAGGCGACGTTTTCACATTATTAATAAACAATTAAACAGTTATTGCGAACAGAAAATAAAACGAAAAACTTAAAATCTAGGACCTTTTTTGTTTTTAATGTTCTGGAGCGAAGAGCCTGGGTACGAGTTTGAAACTAGGTTAGTTTATCGGCCTCTGTTAGTTCAATTTCTATGTTTTAAGATTGCTTGAAATACTAAGTATATCTCTGTAATGTGTAAAAGTGATTACAGTGGTAATTATGTTGATCACGTCATATAGCTGACGTCATCGGTCGGCCATCTTGGATTCCGCCATCTTGTATTTTTGACGTCCGAAAAAAGTACTTTTCCCTACTCAAATTTTGGGCAACCCTTCCATTCCATATTCTTGACATCATAATCTATCATTGTGCCAAGTGCGGGCTTGTTGTCACGATTTGAAGGATTTGCCTAAAATTGGCATCTTAACAGGGCTACTTTATATTTTACTGACTTTAACATTAGAGCTTTTAAATGATTATGGAAATCATTGCGAGGCATTACGAAACATTACAAGCGTCTTACGATGGTTCACGAAGTCTACGAAGAGGTACGAAGGTATACAGGGTGTATCAAAATAAACGCAATTCATCTTTTGTGCTTAATAACTTTCGAAATACTATTTCTAGTTAAACTCTTTTAGGCTTACTTCAAAGCCTGTTCTTTTCTCTTTCAAACAAACTATTATCCTTGTCTCCAATGCTTGTAATAATTGAACAAGAAAAGATTTAGTAAAACCTATCATTTTTAGTTGCTGTTTAATTATGCAAGTTTACTATGTTATTGTTTAGTCGGTTTAAATGTTAGAATTTTCTTCTTTAAACTTTAATGTTGTCGTCACTACATCTGGAAAACCACGTAAGAACAAATTAAAAGTATTTTAAAAGAGACCAGGTTGTTTGAAAATCCTAAACGAATGCTAAAAATCGTCAAAACATTCTGGTGTCTGAGCCAGAGTGTCATCGAATTGCGATGTAATGTAAACAGAAATTATAGCAAGTTGATGTCAGTCAGCTTAGATGGTCCAAGCCAAAATTATATCGCATTTGAAGTTTCAAACTGAGTTAAAATAGTGGAAGAAAAGCCGTAATTATACTTATTGTTACAATCCATTTAATAAAATGCAACATTTTTTTGTTTTAATGAAAAAATCAGTTATTTTCATGAGAACGATTTGTTATTCCATCTCAATTTTTTTAATCCCCAATCGCAATAACGTAAAGTATTATTACCCGCGAACCAATGAGTCAAATTTAAGAAACAACCCACTGTTAGAAAGCTGAGTGGCTACGCTTTAAAATGAATGTAAACTTTAACGTTTTCATCTATTATTTGTTTAGCAATTTACATTTCAGTCGAGGATTGCGCTTTTTTTGATATACCCTGTATACGACAATGACGTTTACGATGAAACGAAGAAACCTCAAAAAAGACAACCGCGGGAAGCAAATTTATTCATTTTTATAGCTTAATATTAAATTTGTGCCGACTTTTAAACGTAAACATTCACAAGTTAGGGTAAAATATTGGTAAATTCTAGACCCTAGCTAGCCCTTTTAGCTCTTCACGATTCACGGCACGCATATTAATCACAATTCACGGAATGGTATTTCTTCAAATCACTAATCACGAAGAACGAATAATTGCTAATCGCGATTCACGAAAATACCCTTTCCCCTTAATAGTTGTTAACACGGTTTACCAGGGCAAAACAATTTTAATCATTTGTGTTATAAAAACTACATATGACGGCTTGACACAACGTTTAAAATTCCCGCAAGTCTTTAAATTATTAATGTATTCTGTGATATATGACGAGTTTTGTTGTTTGAATTTGAATTTATTAATTGACATTCCTTAAAGTGGGCTTTTCAATGACAATTTACATGGATTTTAGAAGAAATTATGAGTTATCGACTATATATATTTACAACAATCTTATCAACTGAGTTATTACGCGAACTAAAATTATACTATATATTATGGTTTATGAGTTAAAAAAAAGTTAAAAAGAAGGACATCGCTTCTCAATAAGAATTGTCTTAAGTTTCGTCTTAAAATTGTTCAAATCACTAATTGATTTCAGCTCTGTATCTAGACCATTCCATATCTTAGTCCCTCGGTATTTGAACGATCTTTGCCCGATCGATGTCCTATATTTTGGAATATCCAGGTCTCCATTTCTTCTAGTATCTCGGTTATGAATTCTGTTTCGTTGTTCAAAATTATCGCATAAATACTGTGGAGCTTTGTCATTCATGCATTTAAATGTTAATAACGCATCTCTGTAAAATAGATGTTCTTTGATTGACAACCATCCTAACGCGTTTAATGTCGGTGATATATGATCATACTTAGGCACCCCTGTAATTAATCGGGCTGCGCAATTTTGGATTAATTGGATCTTTTTGATGTTGCCATCTGAAGTTGTTTTCATAGCTCTGGTCCTTCCATTAACGTCCTCCATGAGAAATTTTCTGTTTAGTTTAATCACTAGAAATACATTTATTTTGTTTAGCCCAGCAGATGGGCGTTTTATTTTCATCTCTTCCTTCATTTTATCCGAAAGCACTTGTAATTTTTCTTCATGTGGTCTAGTTTGTGATTGAAATTATTGTGCCTTACTGCATTTTGTTTGTAGGAGCAGTTTCTTGAAACGTTTCCTTGTCTGACAAAACAAGTGAAATGCGCTTGTTTAGCTGATATAGGTTGATTTATATTACAATGACTATGTAAGAGTTAGAAACCGAGAAGGAGGTTTATAACTGATATATTGCCCCCGAGGACGCGCAGCGTCCGCGGGCAATATATCAGTTATAAACCGACTTTCGAGGTTTATAACTAACTTATATCTCATTTGTGGAGGTTTTCTAACATATTTTGTCATTTTCAAAAAAATTTTATGAAAAATTCTCGCGTTTTGTCGAAAAGTTTGATGTAATTATTTATTCAAGGTATATTCGCTAGTTATAAACCTCGGACGATCAAAGAAAACCGACACAAATGAGATACAATCACATTTATAATATATCATTTAATTATTGTTCGGGATGATTGGTCTAGAATGTTTGGCGACGCATAAATTTAAAGTTAAGACGGATTTTTAATTGTTACTTGTTGAAAGCAACTGAGTATCTGAAATATAGAAAATACTGCCTGAAGAGTATAAAACTTTTACCAAAATTGACGTCAGTGCCATTGCTATGGGGTTGCCATGATGTTTGAATATGGCCGATTTTTTTGCTTTAAATTAATTTAAATCGAAACAATTTAAATCTTGCGTTCGCATCGACGTCCGCATCCACAGCAGACGATAAGGTGAATGTTAAGATGCCACTTTCAATTTAAAGGTTTACTATTCGTCACAAGAGTATGATGTAACAGGGGGGGATTGTTGAACAAGACTTGAATGATAAGGCCAGTCATCGGCGTACAGGAGCGGAAAATTTAGGGGGCAGAATGAAATTTGCCCGCCTTTTGCATTTTGCCCGACCAATCAAATTCCCTGCTAAACATCGGAAACTTTCGAAATGCTAAAAATGTTTAGCCAGAAATATAATAATAATAATATTAATAATAATAATAAGAAGAAGAAAAAGAAGAATAAGAATAATATAATACTGATTTTATTGATTACTTGAACTATTAATTATTGATAAAATTATATTACAGGTATAAAACTAAGATAATAATAATAATAATGACAATAATAATAATAATAATAATTTATAAAATCTAAATTGTTGTAGTATGTTATAGT